TCTCTCTCTCTCTCTCTCTCTCTGACACACACCTACCCACCTCCACACATACAAGCACGCACGCACGCACGCAAGCATGCACGAACACTTTCTCTCTTTCATGGTCCAAAGGAGAAATGTAGAAGGTAAAGAAGAAAAATTGATGACTGACCTCTGTTCCGAATCCCAGACCGTAAATGCGTTATACCGACGCTTTTTTCCCCTCACGCAAGATGCAAAAAACTTTCGAAATACAACGAAAATGCGGCACATTTGTTTGCTGCAGGAAAATTAGAAAGGAAACAGATTTATGAAAATAAATACAATTGTGGGCTTGTAAAGGAGTCCGTGTGCGACCACGCTAATACGACTTTTAATTAAATCTTACGTTATTGTCATTCGGATCGAGTATTTCAATTAATGTATGAGCTGCTTTTGTTTGAATTTGGTTATTAGTAATCTTGTCAATTTTCAATTTTACGATTTATTACTTTTATTGCTTGATTGCCGAACGTTTAGTAACGTTTCTAATATTGTGCGCGCGCGTACGTGCGTGCGTGCCATTGTAATTTTCAGCAAAGAATGATGAACATAATTTGTTTTGTACCGAAGTCTAAATATCAAATAAATGTATAATAATTTTATTAACATTTACATTAAGAGAATGGATAACAGTCGCCGATTATGCTGTTTTGTAAGCAAGTCTTAAAATTTTGTTACAGCGATTAAACGAAATATTTTTATTTTTCAATTTTTCTCGCCAATTTCAAACAAAATGTTTATAATCATTGACTAGTAAACCACTCTGTATTAACAAACAAATCTTATTACCTAAAATCTCTCGTGCCTATCGCAACAGCAGAGAATGTCTATAAAAAATTAAGAAAATAAAAGGTGAGCTTAAATATAAAGGAATTTAAAAATAACAAATAGCCGCAAGTTGGCCTCAGGCCAGATTATGAAGAATATACAATGCAAGGAAGGGCTTTCAAATAGGCATTTAATATTCATGGGTAAGACGGGGGGCTGTCTAGCGCCGTCTAACATCTTCCTATTAAAATGGTAAAAGATTCAAGAGAAAAAAACATCCCTCGCAAGCCATTCACAGCATCGTCATTTTCGAGCCCAACAAGAAGAAGGAGAAGAAGAAGAATAATAAATGGACAAAAATGAAGAAGTTGAAGAATCAGAAGAAGAAGAAGAAGAAGAAGAAGAAGAAGAAGAAGAAGAAGTGGAAGAAGAAGAAGAAAGGATAAGAGGATGGAGCTGGAGAAGGATGGCGAAGAGCAAGGAGATGAGGGGGCATGAAGCGGTATCTCCCAATCTCCCTAATACCGAGGACGGAAAGAAGGATAAAAAGCATTTCAGCAAAACGTAGGCCGTCCCCGCTTCCACGAATCGAGAAAAAGAAGAGCAATCCGTGTGCGAGAGACAACTCTAACAATAAGCAGTGCCCAAAAAGAACTAGGTTACGTTTGTTATTCCACAACTTGTGCTTTTATATAAAGAAAAAAGAGAGAAAAAATCGCCGACAAATGTGGAGGACCGGAGGCAAAAGCACGAGGTCGGCGTGGGTCTTGGATGCGTCGACTACGTCACTGGCGGCCTCTCACGAAAACACGCGACATGGCGGCCGAGGCTGAAAAAGAGACGGCGGCATCAGTGAGTGAGTGAGAGAGAGAGAGAGAGAGAGAGAGAGAGAGAGAGAGAGATGACGCCGTTGCATCGGCTACGGCCGTGTCTGCAATGCTGGGGCCCGCGACACCCCGGAGCGCATCCGAGTAACTCATGTTTGGCCGCTCTGAGAGTCGTGGGCGCGGGGCAGCGGGAGGAGAAACGGTAGGGAACAGCGGGGGCAGCGAACGACCTCTCCTACTCCCAACGTGTATACTTATTCACCACCAACACTTTCGCCTATTTTCGCCAGGATTCTTCTTCCAGCGGAAGGATCTGCCGAAGAGTCAAAACTATTCAGAAGCTGGTTCCTCGGTCGGGGCACGGGGAGGGAAGGACAACAAGGCGAGCCCGAGTAAAAGTCACGTACCTGCCGTCATCGACAAGGAGATAAGAGGCCGGCCAAAGAAGTACATGGGCAAGAAGTTGACAACTCGACGAGTTTTTTGGACCGCAAAGGCTCTTCTAAATTTATCGTCGCCCCTTTAGCTTATCATTTTATTTAAAAGCTAGATTTTTCCAAAATAATACTTTACGCTTGCTTTCCGATAATTACGGCTTTATTTTATGGGCATTCCTTGTCCAAACATATTTATGGATCTGCCTTCTAAGCTAGGCGATAACGATGATTTTAATGCACATCAGGCTATTATTCATATTACCTACACGAAAATTTTTGGACAGTCGATGATATATGAAAGACATTGTTTACATTATGTGAATGTATGAGTGAAATTTTTTTCTTCATATGAAAAAGCCGATTGAATGTGGATGAAAATAAAACTGGCGCTATTCCCTCATAATACGGAGATATTACATCTCCTTTTTCAATTACACTCTCTCGTATAATTATCATAAGGGGCATATAAACATACACTTCGATGACAATGTTTTATCGTAAAACTTGTTGTTGATTGAATGGAAAATGTTGCTTCATTTATCGGGATTAAGACGATAATGAAAATTAAAAGAAAATTCGAGGAAGTAGAAGCTCATTGACTTAAAAAGAAAGAGTCGAATATGGAAGATATAATCGATCGCATAGAGTCGCGTTCGAGCACAACATCCAAGCACAATAAGAATACTTAATAAAAGTACGAAGCAACACGGCCAACGGGGTAACCAAGTGGCATTGCCAATTGGAAAAAGGCTTGGAAAAAGCTGGAAACTTATGTACAGTGTAGTTTTATCGATTCAGCATCGATCATTAATCGAGGACATTTAATAGTATCTGGCTTTTACGGGGGGATATCGATCGTCCCTCGTCCATTAAACCATTCTCCGAGCATAAATTTACAACCGACGCTCTCAAGACTGTCGTTCTCCCCCTCGTCAATCAAACGTTCGCACACATAGTTGGGAGACCAGCAAAGCCGAGCGGCCCCGCGCGCGGTCCATCATCAGCTTTTCGCATTTTATCCTCGCGAGCTCACCTACATTCCTGATAAAGACGACACCCCAACATCGGGCAAAAAATGGAGAACAGCGGAATCGAGAAGGATGTTACGAAGTCAAAGATGATGGAGTCGGCGGAGTGCACGTAGTGTGCGAAGTGCGGGAAGAGGAGTGGCAAAGGCCGAGAGGATATAGATGGATTGATGGATAGATAGATAGATGTGCACGAGTATTATAGATAAGGCATAAGGAGCAAAAAGGAGGAAAAGGCGCAGCGGCTAAAAGAGTGTGCGAAAAAAGAAAAGAGAGCTAGCCGTTCGTCTCCTTCTTGTACGTACGATTGCTCGTTCACCCCCCCCCCCTCTCTCTCTCTCTCACACTATCTATCCTTCTCTCTGTATATATATATATACACATATCTCTCTCTCGCTCTCTCTCTCTCTCTCTCTTCGTCTTATGGGTGGAGACCAGAGATGCGCACACTCATCGCGCTCGCATTCACATTCGCGTTCATATGTACACATGCTTGGCGCAAGCTATTTCTGCGGACGTATAAAATAAGCAGTGAATGAAGCCCGTTTACCGGCGGTCAACCTAACCCAGACGGAGATCTTTCGGTCGCATCGTATCTTAGTGTAGAGTCGTAGTCGCTCTCTCGCTCACCGGCATGCGCACACACGTACGCGCGTACCAACCAACACCGAGGCAGCGTGAGAGAGAAGGAGTCGCACACGGCGAAGCGGAACGAGTGGCCGATCGCCGGCACGGTCGGCCATAAGGAGCAGGGGGCGACAAGGGGCAGGTACGGGGGTGGGGGCTGGCGGTAGCGGCGGCGACAGTGACGGCGACGGCGACGGCGACGACGACGGCGGCGGTGGCAGCGACGGCGATGGCGGTGGCGGTGGTGGTGGTGGTGGTGGTGGTGGTGGTGGTGGCGATGGCGATGGCGGTGACGGCGGTGGC